ACTCCGACTTATGTGCTAGCCAGGATTGACGAGATATGGATAAGTCGTACAGGTCACTATAGGCGACTCCGACTTATATGCTAGCCAGAATTGATGAGATATGGATAAGTCGTACAGGTCACTATACGTGACTCCGACTTATATGCTAGCCAGAATTGATGAGATATGGATAAGTCGTACAGGTCACTATACGTGACTCCGACTTATGTGCTAGCCAGGATTGACGAGATATGGATAAGTCGTACAGGTCACTATAGGCGACTCCGACTTATATGCTAGCCAGAATTGATGAGATATGGATAAGTCGTACAGGTCACTATACGTGACTCCGACTTATATGCTAGCCAGAATTGATGAGATATGGATAAGTCGTACAGGTCACTATACGTGACTCCGACTTATGTGCTAGCCAGGATTGACGAGATATGGATAAGTCGTACAGGTCACTATAGGCGACTCCGACTTATATGCTAGCCAGAATTGATGAGATATGGATAAGTCGTACAGGTCACTATACGTGACTCCGACTTATATGCTAGCCAGAATTGATGAGATATGGATAAGTCGTACAGGTCACTATACGTGACTCCGACTTATGTGCTAGCCAGGATTGACGAGATATGGATAAGTCGTACAGGTCACTATAGGCGACTCCGACTTATATGCTAGCCAGAATTGATGAGATATGGATAAGTCGTACAGGTCACTATACGTGACTCCGACTTATATGCTAGCCAGAATTGATGAGATATGGATAAGTCGTACAGGTCACTATACGTGACTCCGACTTATGTGCTAGCCAGGATTGACGAGATATGGATAAGTCGTACAGGTCACTATAGGCGACTCCGAATTATATGCTAGCCAGAATTGACGAGATATGGATAAGTCGTACAGGTCACTATAGGTGACTCCGACTTATATGATGAGATATGGATAAGTCGTACAGGTCACTATAGGTGACTCCGACTTATATGCTAGCCATGATTGATGAGATACGGATAAGTTGTACATGTCATTTTAGCTGACTATGACTGATATATCACTTTGTATTGATTTAGTTCATTTGGGCCTACTTATTAATGTATGGTGGATGTGATGGCAAATCGTGGTTTTGGTCATTTCCGAGTATGGTTTGGATATATGTATATATGTTGTACTGTCTTACGGAAAACGATACGGGTTGTACATTTAGGGGCATTACTTTTAGAGAGGTAGTAACTTTGGGAAGCTTGGTTTTATTGCTTACTCACACCTTCTCTTTGGTGCCCTCCAGGTTTTAGCTGCTGAGTTTGTATCGACAAAAATCTGTGGCGAATCTTAGTATTGATGGATATTTTTGAGGGTATGATTCTTACTCACATTACTGTACCTTACTTATGCTCTGACATCGCGCGTGAAATGGGTTCGCTCCCACTCGTAGCGCACTCTGGTATTTAGACACTTTTAGATTCAAATTTATTCACTTTTTATGCACTATCACATTTTATGGCTTCGTCACCTTCCAGGTGTCGGCCAGCACAGCTCGATTCAGGGTCCAAGTGGACTTTCTGGGTCGGGGTGTGTCACGAAGTGGGGAAAATTACTCAGATCAGGTAACAATATATTATTTATTTGATACCCAAATTTACATTATAATTATTTGTTTGTATTATTTATTTGTTACCTACATAATTTATTATTTATTGTTTGTATTATTTATTTGTTACCTACTTACATTATAATTATGTTGTTTGTATTATTTATTTGTTACTTATTTTCATTATAATTATTTATTTGTATTATTTATTTGTTACTTATTTTCATTTTGTAGGAACTTTAAGTACAAGCTTGGTACGCTGCCAAAACCAAAAGCAAAAATAAATCATTCAACCGGTGGGAATGTTAGAATATTGTCAAAGATTGTCCTAAATTTAGAGTTGTGCCAGTCGGTCCAGAAGTGCACATGAACAGCACCCCTCTACACTCTACACCCGATCATGTTCATGAAGATGATGCAAAAGAAGTGCCCAAAACACCCCTCATTGAACAAGCGTCGGGTTCGACCCGTTATCCAATTAGGCCTGAAGGTAAGAAGGCTTCAAAGAGAAAAGGGAGTGCTTCCAAGAATGATTATGCAAAGTTCATGGAAGAACTTACTCGCCAAGGTGAATTGACTTTGGTAAGGGAACTGGTGAAATATGAGGCTGATAAGGCTAGACAGGACGCAAAAGTAGCAGCTATTGAGAGAGAATTTCTTGCTAATGAGAGAGAACGAGAGCTACTTAGGCAAAAAAGTGAACATGTTAGAGAAGAAAGACAGACTCAACAAGATCGTGAGATTATGAACACGCCTTTAGAAGAGAAGTCTCCAAATTTTAAATTTTTTTGGAAGTCAGAGAAAGCGGACGTGGTGCGAATGAGGCGTGCAAGAGAAGCGATAGCAAGCCAAGGTGATTCTAGCACCACAAGAGAAGATCATTCTAGCACCACAAATTGGTTAAGTGATGATGAATAGAGTACTTTTTGTAATCGGAGCCCATAATTTTCCAATCATTTTGGGTTGTAATTTATTATTTATTGTTTGTGTTATTTATGTTGTTTCCAATTTATTGAATATTTATTCAAATTAATTTGGTAAGTTATTTATACTAAGAGAATATTTATTGAAATGACAAAAAAACACCAAATAAAATTACATAAGCATACGGAATAATTAAAAACTCACTAAAAAAATTACATAAACATACCAAATAATAAAACACACCAAATAAAATAACATAAACATACCAAATACAAAAAAACACACTAAATGAACTTAATTATCTTCAGCTTGTTTCAATGCCCACTGGTGCTCTATCAAGTCAATTTGTCGGGCATTGTGCATGTCTGGCATTGGAAATGCAGTATATCGTTGAATAAGCCTTTCATTGTCACGTCCATCCCTTTTTAATGGCTCACGTTGCACGGGCTCATCGGTGGCGTCATGAGCACAATATATACGTGTTCTTGAATTGTTCATCGTGTCTGGCTCATATTCATCAACGGCTTCATAATCGTACTCATCTTCCACAATCATGTTGTGAAGAATGATGCATGTCATCATGATGGATCGAAGCGACTCTACATCAAACAATCTGGCAGCACCTCTGACAATCGCCTAGCGAGCTTGGAGGATATCGAAACAACACTCCACATCATTCCTGCACCCCTCTTGACAGCTTGCAAAGTGTTTTTCCTTTGCACTCCGCGGACGTGGCATTATTTTGACAAATGTTGACCATCGCGGGTAAATGCCGTCAGCTAGGTAGTATGGCCCGTCGTACATACGTCCGTTGACCTCATACGTAACTTTTAGTGCCTTTCCTTGCAGGACATCGTTGAACACGGGATTTGGTAAGGACGTTGATGTCATTTTGAGCTCCCGGGACCCTGAAAAAGGCGTGCCAAATCCATGTATCAAAAGATGCCACCGCCTCCAGAATGATACTTTTTGCTCCTTTTCTGTCCCCGTAAGCGCCTTGCCATGCACTTGGACAATTTTTCCACGTCAAGTGCATACAATCAATGCTTCCAATCATCCCAGGAAAGCCACGCATCTCCGCCTTCTTCAACAGCCGTTCCAAGTCCATGTTTGTAGGTTTGCGGAGATACTCAGCGGTCTAGATAGATTTGATTGCTCCACAAAACCTCATCAGGGACTTAAGAATGGTTGATTTCCCCATCCTCGTTATCTCATCCACTTGGTCTGCAGATGCTCCATATGCAAGCATCCGCAAGGTAGTAGTAATTTTTTGCTCAGGCAGTAGACCCATAGCACCAAAAGCATCTTTCTTTTGCACAAAGTAAGAATCATGGTTGCAAACAACAATCATGATTTTGTTGAACAAATGTCGTTCCATTCTAAAACGACGTCTAAAGTACGTATCAGAGAATGCACTATTAGGAACAAAATAATCATCCAAGAGTTCCATACCTCGTCGTTGCTTGCTTCTATCAAGGTTTCCGGAACGGTTGGACCTGTAGATCTGAGCCGTAGCTTGGATGACTCGACAGGAATGTAAGGTTCTACCCATTCTTACTTTGTCATCTCTCCTTCTACGCTCCTCATCCTCTTCCCTCTCATTTTTTGCCCCCTGGTGATTGAACATTGCTTCTGATTGGTTAAACAATTCTTCCTTTTCCTGATCGAGTTCCCACATCATCCTTGAGGAAGAAGAAGACATTGTAAGAAAGAAGCAGAAACTATAAATAATGATACAGATTTTTGTGAAGAATGAAGCATAAACTATGAATAATGATAGAGATCTTGAGAAAATTGGTGTGAGATTTGTGAGGATGGATGGTGGATTATAAAAAGATTCAGAAAGGATTAGGTTGTACATAATGCCACGTGGCATGCTGTCATTCGTTAAAAATCTGATGGAAATCTATCCTCAAAGATTGTGAACAGATTATGACACGTGGCATGCCGTCATTCTTTAAAAATCTGATGGAAATCTATCCTCAAAGATTGTGAACAGATTATGACACGTGGCGCAACGTAATTGGTTAATAATCTTATCAGAAATCCATCACCAATAATTGTATTTTCGAATAATGACACGTGATATAACGAGTACGATTAAAAATTTTATCGGAAATCCATCCCCAATAATTGTCTTTTCTGATTTTATGACAAGTGGGGTAACGACAACGATTAAAAATCATATCTGAAATTACAAATAAAATTATTTTGTATTATTTAATAATACTTCGGATAATGACACGTGGCGTAACAAGAACGATTAAAAATCTTATCCGATATTACAATTAAAATTATTTTGTATTATTTTATAAATAAAAAAATACTAATATTTTATTGTCTATTGTCAGGGCTATTGAAGTGTAACGGTAGAGATGCAAATGCTATTGCCAGGGCTGTTCATTAAAGGCAGTTACTGTTCATGAGGTAGATTGAATAGTATATTACCTGGGGGAGGGCTCCAACGCTGGAATTGCTCTTACAGTTACTTTTTCTCTATTCCCAACTGCTTTACACTCTTAATTATTTAAAACTAAGCCAAGAAAATAAAAATAAATAAATAAATAAATCAACAGTCATCATCGCAAATTGTGAAGGGTCTGCCCAGAGTTGTCAAAAATTGACGATCAAGCAGAGGAAGAACAGAAAACTTGCGAGGCCCCTCCAGTTTCCCAAGTTTTTCACCCAACCATGTTGGCGGTTATCACCTTCCCTCTCCGCCGCAGATACCCATTTGCAAGTTCCCTCTCTCTCTCTGAAAAACTACAAGGCCCTTCCCGCATAATCTCATCCCTCTCCGTATCTCTTCTTTACAAGACCTAAAATTTTCAGATCCAATGCCTTCAATTACCAAAATCCAGTAAACAACCTCAAATATACCTCTGACCACCAAGAAATTTGCCCAAAAATTTTCTCCACGACAAGAAAACACGGTATTTGCGACACTTGTTTTGCGACGCATGATGCGGTGGTGGTAATAAATACGAATTTCACTAATTTTCTGCACGGTTAACTTTGGCGCTTTGTTATTTACGATCCCATTGAGTTCCGTCGCATGCATGAATAAGCAAAAGAGAAAAGGAAAAAAGTTAAAAATGAGACTCAGTACGTTCGAGTATCCCTCTCGCTCTCCGCCTCTCTCCTTCTCGCTCTTTGCCTCTCTGCCTCTCTGCCTCTCTTCAAAGCTTAAATCCTTCTCTCCCACTCTCGCCATAATCCCTAATGCTGAGACACAATTGAACCAGGTAATAATTCATGGTTCTTGTTCCCTCTCTCAAATACCCCTTTACTATCCCTAATTTTTTTCTCATCTATCCGTTCTTTCTTTTTGCTACTGGAAAGTCGAATTCAACGTCATATGTTCTCATTCAGGTAAGATTATTCGAGGAATTATCGTCCAATTTGTTTTTCCTATCTATTCTCCATAAGTTCTCTGGTTGTTTAGGGTTTTTCAGATTTTTGCTGCGTTTTACTTCATCACTAATTGTTAATATTGTTGGAGGATTTTTTGTAATTGGAGCCAGTTTTTGTAATTGTTGATGTTGTGATTCTGTACTCTATTAATTATGGTATTATTTTGTCAATTAGGTGATGAAATGACGAGGATCATATGGAAACAGTTAACGATGTGTGAAGATTCATTCAGAGTGATTTTAAGTTTATTGATACTTCTGTTGTAGAATTTGATTTAATTTAATCTGAGTTTTTCGTTCGTATGTTGTTGTAGCTTAGTTTTCCCTATCTGGACTTGGATATAAAGTATTATGATGACAGAGTTACAGTAGAGAGTGTTGAAGCCACTCTTAAGTATTTGCTTTTTGTTTAGTGTGAAAATAATAGCATAAGATTTGTTTTAACTATTGATTTTGGTACTTTGTTTATAATTACCAACCCTTTAAATTAGAAATAAAGAAAGATAGATATATGAAAGGAAACTTGATGTTCCTGGAGAGATATATGAAAGGAAAATATATCCTTTTGAGTTTTCTACTGTTGAGATGTCATATGAGACTTAGAACGGGGTGAATGTGAGACTTAGGTAACTCTTAAGACATTGATAGTTACTTATATTTTCATTCTTAATTGTTTATCGAAGACTTGAAGTAAATATCTATTGGCAGCTTTTAGATTTTGCTACACTAGTGTAGTTGTGGTTATGGTAGTAGCATAGTGGAATACCAGGATTTTGTGGTAATCTCTCTCTCTTGGAATACCAGGATCTTTTGAGCATCATGCACACTTTTTATTATCTATCTAGTGTGATGCAACAGCCACCCCATTGTTAGTCCTCCTTCAATGGATCTTCCTATAATTTTATTGCCTTTGCAGATGGAAGTCAGAATTGAAGATTGTCTGCATATTGAGTTTGAGTACAACAAGAGCCAAGTAAGTCGAAATGTATTTCATGACCAGGGTCTTGTGTTTGTCATTAGTGGTTTACATGCGTGAGATGAAATCCGGAAACAATGGCTGTTTTCTGCTTGACATTTATCTGTTTGTGATGCTCAGTCCCAGCAGGAGATTCCCCTGTTGAACTTGATGTTTACAATTCAAAGGGCCTAGTGTCGCCCGGTTGGTACATCTTGCCTAGTTTGATCAACAGGAGGAACAAAGTGAAGAAACAAATCCATTAGATTCTTCCATTTCGCTAACTAAATAAACGGCGTCTCGCACTCGTACCTCGCCTTTGGCGCCTTCTACTTCATTCACGACCCAAGCTTTGATTTCAATCCGAACTAAATGTTGTTGAGGCCTGGTGTGGCCCTTTCTATGTATAATGTTGATGAGGTTTGTATTGTAATATGAAGGGGAGAGACATAAAGTTTAGAAGGAAAAACACTCAAGGGGATCTCTTGCTAGGTTCGATAGAGAAGCACAGGTCTAACATAGGATTTTAGACCATATAAATGTTTGGATCATGTATATATGTTTAATTACTGTAAGTTTAATACGTTATTTGATATCAAAATTCCAAATAAGTGTGTTTCATTTTGTGAATTATGAATTGTATCAATGATGTTGGATTTTATTTTAGTTTGGAACCTGTAGTAAATTTCACATGGAACAATTTTTGTGAGGCTATTAAAAATAATGTCATTGTGGGGTCTCTTTGGCGCCAAATATATATTTTTTAACCTATTGCCAATTATTTGCGATGTTTAGTTTGCTGTCGCAAGTCCGTAGTAAATAATATTTGCGACGTGCACAAAACGTTGCATATAATCGATCGACATTTACGACACCTAGTTCTTGCGACGCATTATTTTCCGTCGCAAGCTCGTCATAAAAGGGCTATTGCGACGCTTTTTGCTGCTTTTGCGACAAGTTTTGACCGTCGCAAAAGGCCCTTTTTTTGTAGTGCTCCAGAAAAATAGACAGATACCAAATAACAAGGGGAGAAAACAAGAAAGAAAGAGAGACCAGAGAGGTAGGAGGAGGGAAGAAGAGAGGGCGCAAAGAAAACATAAGTTTTGAACGGTGTCAAGAAAAAGAGATGGTGCTGACGGTAGAGATTGGAAAGTAGGTGTCGGCAAGAAGATAAGGCTTTTCGCTGTTGGAATTTTTATTCTTTTTTATTTTTGTTTATTTTTAGAGTTTTAAATTGTTTTTTTTTTTTTTTAACTGAAGAAGGAATATTTAACGAAAAACTAACTATAGTTAAAAGATGAGTAAAAAGATGAGATACTTGGCTTGGCATTCCGATAGGCATGGTGTGGCATACACCGAAGTTTTATGTGGGTAGCAAAAATGCTCCCATGATTTTACTAATTTTTTGATGGGTTTTTGGTGTCCCGTGGGTCTCCACTCTTCCCTGTGCATTCACTCTTTTCTTCACTACATCACTCTTCCATTCTCCTTCACGCAACCCATCTTTCACTAACTCTCTCTACTTCTTCACTTTTTTGTTTTTTCATTCTCTGTCATCTTCCTCACCATCTCTATGCTCACTGCATAGAAAACAGCAGCACCATCTCCACCTCCTTCGCCACTCCGGTGAACCTTGCCACCACCCAAACATCACACTGCCTCTCTCTCTCTCTCTCTCTCTCGGCTTCTTCCTTAACACAAAGAGAAGCACATAAGGAATGACGGTAAGGGAACTGTCGTTCTCCGGCAAGGCAACCACTAACTTTCTTCCTCTCATCACCATGGACTCCCATTACTCTTTGCTTTTTGGAAACCAAAACCGACGCGGTGAAGTAACGAGCTCCGTCGCGGCCTGACTTTCTAGCGAGATTTTTCGTCGAATCTAGTATAGGTGAGTCTCGAAAACACTTTAGTTAGGTTCTTTAAGTTGTTTAGAGACGTTTTCGTGCACTACATGCCTGATTTGTTTAAGGTTGGATGCAGTTTCAACTTGGGAGAAATTCCCCAGATTTCCGATGAGGCCTGCGAGTTTCAGGCTAATTTTAGGCTATCACCGGCCGCCCAATGGCCCTGAGGAAGGTATATTTTGAATCCTTACCTTCGTAGCTTTTTGTGGGCTTTTGAATTGCTGAAAATGATTTTGTTTTGGACCCAAAACGGATTCTAAAACCCCTAGTGTAGCTGCAGGCCACAGTCGTAATCGCGCGTGTGGAGCTATGTGTGGTATTGCTGGGGATGGCGCGTGGAGCACAGACACCTCCACCGAAAGATGAATGGCTAAAAGGAAGAATATACGTTTGAAATCATTGCCTTGCTTTTTTTTTTTTTTTTTTTTTAATTAGTTTATAATGTTGATTACTTTGATTGAGTCTGATCTATCAAGAAGAGAAACTATGAGCAATATTTTCCTATTCCGATCTGATGTTTTCAAATGTTTGTTTCAAGTTGTAAGGTGTTACGGTGTTCTGTGCTCAACTCTTTGAGCACCAATAGCCATGTCGTGCCCTCTAATCAAGGGGCACGCACATAAAGGGCACATATAATAGTTTAGTTGCAGCATTGTTACTATTGATCTATGGGCACATATGTTGGTGTCATTTGACCTCATAGGGCACAAATAACTTTTTGTGCACAGTGCCTATATTTTTTGTAGTGTGAAGTCTTGACTAGCGCTTTGAAGAAAAGTAAACGACCAAATTCTGCAGTAAAGAACTCTCTCAACCCCTCTCTTCCTTCTATCCACATATTTTCATGCAAAGAAGCATGCACTAACTGCAGTAGTGGTGATGATAGTCCTATACAATCAAGTAACGATGACAAAAAATGTAGTTAAACAGTGTGGCATTGCTGAATTACTAACCACGTACGGCAAACAATTAAATTGAAGGTGATTAATTGCCAAGGACAAGTACTACTTCTAACTTGTGCTATAATTTTCAGCGAAGGATGGTGGTGGTGTGGAATTGAACTTCATAAAGAAAAGATGGTGAGCTCATATATAATGGTGAAAGCAACTAGCCGAGAGAGAGAGAGAGAGAGAGAGAAGGTCTGGTTGGATAGTGAGAAAAAGCCACCAAGAAAAACCAAGGCCAGCAGCTCCAAGATTCTTTCTTAGAATCGAAAAATAGAGGAACGTTGACATGAGAGAGATGAGAAACCCTAACCCTAGTGCTAGTGGGGAATGAAGTTTATTAGGATTTCCTCCAAAGTGTAAATATATCATGTGCGGTGGCTGGTGAAGCATAAACGACAGCAATGCCATTCCCACTATACACATATTTTGCTAAATTTGCCCTTACAGTCTGAGTGTAAATGTCATGAGTTGCACACATGGAAATGTCATGATCAATCACACGTTACTCTAAAAAGGAGTATAGGCACTTTGAATTTTCTAAGCCAAAAAAAAAAAAAAAAAAAAAATCGATTTCCTTCCCATTAACCTTTTTCTTACTGTTATTTAATTGAGTTCTTAATCGCAGTATTCTATGCAGAATAACTTCGACGCATACTGGTTAATTTGAAGAATATTGTTTGACTTCTTACTTGTAATGACACATACATAAACTATACTCAATATAAAAACAAAAAAATGCAGCTTTGTGGATACAGATATTGTAAAGAGCAATGACTCCTTCCACACATGTACTCTCAACCCTCACTATTATCTACCGCTCTGAAAATTATAATGGTACACAAATAGTTCCAGTCTAAAATACAGTTGACTCCACCAGTCCTTTGTGTGCCTGCAAAATTCATTTCTACTTAATTTGGAATGTGTCATTGTCAATTCACAAGTCCCTCCTACATGCATGTGTAGAGCTGTGCCCACCCTAAACCCTTGAACCTACTTTCACTGTTAATTGAATTCTTAATCGTATTATTAAGAATTTGTAAAAATAAAGAAACACGCGTGTATATGAAAAACTGAAATTCATAGTGAAAGTTTTCTTGGACTCTCGCTTCAAGCAACACTATCAATATCATCTGCAGAAAAATGACATTAGATTAATACAGCGAGATTACCAAGCGCGCCGGCCGCCATAGTAGTTGCAATCTAGCTAAGCCAAATCACAAACAGTGTTTTGAAAAGCCATTCAAATAGTAGCAACCTCCAAATAACTAAATATGGTGTTGACTGCACCAAAAATTGAAATGATATGTATCATAAACTTCATTTTGTTTCGTTTTGCAAAATGAAAGCAATTGATGTAGTGTTCAGACATCAACTCAGAAGTACTAATTTTGATTCAAACATCCAAGTCCCCGTTACATGCATGTGTGGGATTTAGGCATCAATCTTTGTCAGTGTTCTAAAAATCGGCCTAAGCAATGGGCATTGGTCAACCGCCGGGATTAATACAAAATCAAGACAAGGATTAGGCGGGTGCTGAGGCAGCCTGAGTGGCCCTTGGGCGGCCTAGGCGGTTTGGGAATTTCAATTTTTTCTGTGTTTGACCTTGAGAGAGGATGAATGCAGATTAGTTGTGTTCTGGTTTTTCTAGACTTCATGAGCTTTTGGTCTATGTTCTTGTGAAGAGGAAGAAGATGAGAGAAAATTATTTTCTCTCTCTTTCTTCGACACCCATGTGATCACTTTCAAACTATTTTTTTTTTTTTGGACAGCTAGCATCTTGACTTTTCTAAAAGAAAAAAGGTTGTCAGTCCATCCATAGCATCAAGTGCTATTAATTTTTTTTCTCATTAAAGAAACATAGATTGTCAGGTTGTCAATTTATAGCATCAAGTGTTATTGATTTTTTGGACTTGTTAGATATGCATTTTATTATTCTTTTACTATCTTATTCTGGGATTTCATACAAGTACAATTTTTTGTAAGTGTCAGTATATATTTATTTACACGAAATTTACCTAAATCCGCCTAGGCTGCCTAGGTGCCCACCTAGACCCTGCCTAGCGCCTAGGTGCTAGGCGCCAGCCCCCCACCCAACTAGCGCCTAGCGTTTTTTAGAACCTTAGTTTTTGTTGCTTGGATTGTGTTATTTGTGTCCAGATTGTTGTGCAAGTGGAAATTATTATTTATTCATATAGTTGCACTGACCACCCTCAATTTCCAAATGCTATTATGGATCATTACTAGAAATTATTATTTGTCCGACGGAAGCAATTTCGTTGGATCACTAAACTTTAACCGACGGAACTCAAACGTTCGTCGGACAAAAAGGGTCAATGTTTTAGTTTCTTCAGAGGCTTTTGCCCAACAAACAATTTTCATCGGACAAAGATCCATTCATCAAGAAGTTTTCAGAGAAAAACTTCACACATGATATGGCAACCTTTGTGCGATGATTTCGTCGCACAAAGGTATATTTTTATGATTTATTATCGTTTGTCGGGCAAAGGTGAGGGACATTTTGGCATATTCAATTCTTTCAGTGATTTTCACGGTCTATAAAATTAATGTCAACAATCCACCGTCAAACTTGTTTATATATACTCCAAAATGGCCTAAGCCAAAAATCACCAAAAACAAACTTTCCTGGATTAGGTAATGGGACGAAATCCTTCAATGGTTAGAAACGAAAAGTCACAATTTAACGATTACTTTAGGTCTGATTTTGATGATCTTTTGTAATTACACTCCTTGACCCTAGAAGCATACAAGGAACAAACTGGATCATCACTTCAAAATATTTACACTAGTGGTTACCACAAAATCTTATGTCCTACTTAATAGAAGTATAGAACAAACACTGATTAGGGCTGGTTAGGGTTGGGGTCCCGAACTGAAACCCCTAACCCAAATCCCAAACCAAAACATTTCAGGATGGGATTTTATATCCTAAAACCAAACTGAAACTATTCATTTCCCGAAATTCGGGATTCCCGAAAGTGTTTCGGGATTTTCGGAAAACTTCGGGATTGGGCCTTGAAGCCCAAATTGTTGGGCTTTTTAAACTTTTTACAATTTTAAGCTATTTAACAAGTAAGCCCACCCATTTTTCAGGAAAAAAAAACAAAAAACAAAAAGTTAACAATTGCAGGCTTGCAGCCCACTACTTGTACATCCCACCTATTTCAGTTTCACAATCACATAAATAAATTCAATTCAATCAAAGTTCACCACAATTTCATCTCATAATTTCAATTTTCATACCATGCAAGCAACAACTAACAAGTTAAGCTTAAGTTCACAATTGTCTACCAAACTAGTTAATTAAAAGTGCATGCAACCAAAATGAAATAAGTTAAATTTTACAAACCAAACTTCCGAATGAATTTAGCTTAAGTTACAAACCAAAAGAAAAACATAGTTTATAAGCAAAAAAGTGCATGCAACCAGAATGAAGTTTAAGTAAGTTCATTCCCTTTCACCCCTTCGGCCCCTTCCCCTTGTTGATGAATGACCCGTTGCCATTGATGGTGGACCCTTTCCTCTTGTTAATAATTGAACCCTCATTTGTGTTGGTGTAGATGCTCTTGAAATGGGTGGTCATGAAGGTAGTCATGGGCGACGATGAAACTAATTTGGATGAGTCAACCGTGAAACTTGTTTGTATATATTCCGAGAAGGATTGTGCCAATCACCCCCAAAAAAAAACTTTTGGGGTTTAGGTAACGGAAAATCCTTCAATGGTGAAAACATCATGATTTAATGGTTATTTTAGCTCTGATTTTGATGATTTTTTCAATTCAAAATATTTATACTAGTGGTTACCACAAAATCTTACGTTCTACTTAATGGAAGTATGGAATAAATTACAAGTGTTTGTTAAATCTATTGTTCTGACGGAATACATAGTCTATGAAACTAATTTGAATGATGAAACCGTCAAACTTATTTGTATATATTCTGAGATCGCATAGGCCACAAATCACAAAAATAAACTTTTGGGAAGTAGGTAATAAGGCTGGGCACGGGCCGGGTAGGGCCCAATTTTGAAGGAATCAGACCTTACCTGCTTTAAATAGTAACGAGGCGAGTCGGACCGAGTAGAGGGTTTTTAAGTTTGGGAACCGGCCCTAACCCAGCCCGTTTGAAACGGGCTAGTTCGAGGCCTTTCACGGGTCCAATTAATTTTTTTTTTCTTTTTCAGTTTTGATACAGAGCTCCAAAACGTTCCATAGTTCCAGATTGCTCCCACTACCAACGAAATCGACAGGTTGGAAGCTAACCACACCAGCAACTGAACCACCGATAGTGAATCGGTGAAGGTGGTGATCCCCGTCTCTCTTGCTCATCTCTCCCAATCCCAAATAAAGCTATCTATCTCTCGACTCCGATCGACGACGATGGCGCGAGGCTCCAATCTGACTCAGATCGACGATGGCAGTCTTCTGTATGTACTTCGTGAACTAAACCCTGTTAACGGTCACGCCGCTAGCTGCAATGGGCTTTTGGATGTTAAGCACCATAATTCTGTATGCTTTGCACAACAGCGAAGCCATTGCCTACCAAATCGAAGATGAATTCCGTATCCTTCTGATAAAAGGCAGAA